CATTTCATATAAATGACATGAGTGAGGTAAGGTCAAAATGAAATGACTATTTCATGTGACATTTAAAGAAAAGAAAAATAAATTGTGAATATATTCAGTATATCAACTAGCGCCCATAAAAATATATTTGGATTAAAACATGAGCAAGCCAAACTTTAAATAAAAATATATCTAGACTTTTTAAAATAGTTTAGATGGTATCCTTTTCCCAAGTATAATAACTAAAATGTATGGAAGAAAATATTTGTTTAGGTCGATGAGGAGTTTGTGTGTTTGTGGTGGGGTAAGGTGCATAAAAACTAAAAGGCGTATGGTAATAAAATCTAGTCTTGAAAAGTAAGATGCATGTTTCTTGTATGGAAAATTGTGAATACTTTTGACAAATATGTTTTTTTCCCAAAAATCTTATATCAAAATACTTTATCTATTTCCCATAGAGTTAACCTTCTAGGTACCTTCTTATTAGTCCTTGCTCATGTAATAGAAAAATAAATATTCTTACATTTTAAATTATTTATCCGTATTTTTAAAAATATTTCTTAAGATATTACTTCTTCTATCCGTATTACTATCTATATTAAATTATTTATCAATTTTGTAAAATCTAAATAAAAATTAACTATTTTATTCAATTAATTATGTTTTAAAATGTAACTACTATTAAGTTTCTCCTTCATTAATCGTAATTTTAATAAATAAGCACATAAATAGAGTGTATTAAATGAGATAAATAGGTAATCTGAAAAGATTTCTAATTTTTAAGGTGGGCGTGAAGAGAAATTGTATTAGTATTAAGTGTCTACTATTTCAAAATTGGATTTTCATTTTTAAGATATCAAAAAATGCTATATAATTTTTCGTACATTCTCAATATTAATTACTTGTTTTTTTATATAAACTTTCAAAATCTAAAGTTATACATTAATTAACATAAATTATGTAATAAAATATTTATATTAATCATTATTTTTTAAAAAAAATTCATAATAGTTAATAAATACAAACATACAAATAAAAAATACTTTGAAATATTTATTTTAGAGTTGACAATAAATAATTCAAAATCGTGAAAATTAACAAATCAAGCAGGCAGGCACTGTTCTCAATCCATTATCCATTGTTTATGCAACCAAAAATAATACTCCTTCCGCTTTACTTTTGATAATTCGATTGACTTAACACAAAATTTAAAATATTAATATTTTTAAATTCTGTGATGATTAAATATATAAAAATTATAAATTGTATAAAAATGCTTTCTAGTGTGATAATTTTAAACATATTATGTGCAAATTTAAATTATAATAATTAAATTAAAAGGTTCTAAAAGAACATTTACTCTATTATAAAATAATTTAAATATATAAACAAAACAAAAAATTAAAATCGACCGATTAAAGTAGTTATTATGTATTTGTGATTCGTTTCTTCAAATTTCAAATTTATTCCACTGGTTTTGGACAAGAATATTCCCTAGTGACATCATGAACAGAAATTGAAAATATTAAACACTGTATTTTCATCCTTTCAATTTGAAGTTTTTTAATAGAATAATATTTTGGGCCCTACCTTACCTCCCCAATTTCTGCTAGATTTGCAGAGATATATTATACTCACTTCCAAAATAAATTATTTAAATGGACCCCCAACGTATTTGTTCTCTGCTCATCTTGTTCTTTTTATTTTATTTTAATTTAATAATGAGATTCCTTATTGTAATGTTTTTTAGTATTTGAAACTCATTTATATGGGGTTTACATAGGCAATGTAAAATTTCATAACTATAATCTACGTGTCGCAAAAGTACATTTTTTGTTATTCTTCATACCACCTTTTCATTTGCTAAAAAAGTTATGTAAAGGACTAACGTGGCCCATGTTTTATATATATATATATATATAAAAGGCGGGATGATATGGAGACTCATGTATTTGATTTTATTCGTCAATTTTCATTACTTTACCAACGAGACTCTTAAGCTCAAACAAAACACACCATTTAATTAAATGAGAAATGATGTTTGTTAAGGACCTAAACATGTTTAATTAGGGAAAGACATTACATTAAAAATGAATTTTTATTGATAATTAATTAGCAATTGTCGTTAAATATATATTTTTAACGGCAATTATTATTCCTTGTACATGTCTCTAAAAACTTTAACATTCTTTATTAATATGTTTATTTTTTACCGCTAAAAATTATTTTTATTATAGTGAAAAATGATCACCAGCAAATATAATGTGACGAAATATTATATAACTAATGAAATTATTAACTTCTTGATTCGATTTTTTTTATTTCGATTCAAAAGATTAAGACATATAATCAAATGAAAGATTATCACAACACAATATTACTTGTGATTTAAAAAATGCAATTTTTTGAAAAAAAATAAAAGCATAGAAAGTGTTAAATGGAATCTAAAATCCAGAATTTCTAATCAGCAATGATTAATAGTTGATTTGATAGATAGTTTTGGCCTTTGGTGCAAAAAGGATATTTTAGTCTTGAAACTTGTACCCCATTGCATCATCACACCCTCTTAATTCTTCCTAAAAGACATCATCATTTTTAAGAATATAGGAGGAAGGGTCTTTATGTAATTATCTACTCTTTGACTGTATCTACCTTTGTGCAAAATTATCATTATTATTATTATCCATACACACCCAATTTTTCCCTCCAATTATATATTACCTAAGAGACAATAAAATTTGAATAAGGATCTAAGTATAAAATTAACAGTGGTGAGTCAAGGATAATGAGATTTCATATTTAAAATCTTTTAGGGGTAAATATGGAGCAAATTATTTATTATATCCACGCACACCTAGTTTTTCCCTCTAACTATACCTAAGAATTAGTCGAGCGTCATTAGATTTCATGTCTAAAATTTTGTAGGTATTATATAGAATAAATTATTTATTTCATTGGTCGTCGATAAATAATTATACTCGCTTGTTAAACATATATTTTTTTTTAATTAAAAGTTTATATATATCTAAAAAAATATACATTTCTTGATTACTATTTTGTGGATAAATATTTATGTCAATTATTTTACTGAATTATTACTCATTTCATCTCAATTAATGTGACATTCTTTCCTTTGCAAATAGATTTTGAAATTTCTAGTCTACCTTTAATAATGAGATTACTTATTATTAATAATGAGTAACATATTTTAGATCACAAATTTCAAAAAAAAAATCTTTTGTAAATTTTGTGTCAAGACAAATTAACCATCACACACACACACACACATATATATATTTGACGATAATATATATGATTTTTTCTTCATTTATTTAAGTTATGATGGAAAAAGTTATTTGATATTGATGCACATATACGATGAAATTAACCAAAACTTGTATGAAAACTGAGCGGTAATAAGAGAATGAATGAATAACCCTAATTAGTTAGCATGTCCGTTAAGAAGTGGTAGAATATATATACACATGTCAAGTGTAAAGAAGAATGACAAGAAGAAAGACAATGGACATGTGAATTAGTTGCATTGCTTTCGTCACATAACGTGGTCCTCGTCCTATACTATAATAAATTAAATAATCTTATCTTAGGATCTAATTTGTTTATTCATTAACTTACACGAAAAACTATGTTTACTTGAAATAGGAGTATATTATATTATAGTCTAGTCCCATATCCTCGTAATAACATGATTTCAAACTTTGAAATTTTGAAAAGTGAGTGTGTTAATGTGGATGAATTAAAACATATGATTTGAAACAAACGGCTCATTTGTTGTTTAGTCAAATGATTTATGAAATACAGTCTGTTTTTCCATTCACTTTCTAAGTAATAGTTTCGATGAAGTTTTTATGAAATAAAAGACAAAAGTTCCACAATTTTGACCTTCCAAGAGAATGGATCGATTCAATCAAAACCAAAAAGGGAGAGAGGGGCCTAAAAAAAGAATTAGAAAATACTAGTGTATATGGTTTATATATATAAAAACATGCGCAGATAAAATAAAAATTTATTTGTATCGAATATCTACTCCCATCCAATAAAGACATAAATAACATATAACTGAACATATAATAATCAAAGATAAATAACTTAATCATAATGGACAATTAATACATGAGCATAACTTAATAGATTTAGTTAAAAAGGTGAAAGATTCATGAGTTGTCCAACTCCACTTGTTATTTGGGCTCCATTTTACAGTGAGAATGTTCAAATTAAATGAGTCAAAGGCAGCCCAAAATGATATAGGAGTGGCGTCATTTGCACTTTTACTATATTGTTAAAAAAAGGGATAAATTATATATAATAGCAAACTAATAACCTAAAATTATATATACAATAAAAATACTCTCCTGCCCAGTTTCTTTTGCCTTTCTCTCTTTCTCGTCTTATACAAATTCAAATTGTAATCTAATTTCTCTCTTTCTCATTTTATACAATTCGATTCAATTGTATATTCCCTGTTCAAGTCTCTTTTATCTTTTTCTTTCTCATTTTATACAAATTCAAATTGTATATAATCGTTCTATACACTTATAATCATACAATTCGTTTTATACACTTCGTTTATACAATTCTCTGTCCAAGTGTCTTTCTCTTTCTCATTTTATACACTTCGCTCCAACCGTATGTGTATAGCAAATTATACAGTTTCTATGTTTGTTATAGAGCACAATTATGCAAACTTTGCTATAGCATACAAATATACATTTTTTATTTGTTATATGTGAAAGTTGTCTCAAAAAAAAATCACCGACATAATAGTTCACAAGTTATGTTTCATACCTCTTAAAAAATTATTTCATAAGTTATGTTTGACGCTTCTAAAAAATTTACGTTTTGCTAGAGATGATCAAAATTTTGAAGTGTAAAAATTTTAAAATTTAAAGATCAATGTACCCAAAAGTAAATCGTGTTATTAATTTAAGGGAGAGTGATTGAGGGCCTAGCTAACTATAAACATAGACATTAACAATATTGAATTACGAAATTGTAAAGCATAGTCGAACAAATTCTTCCATAAAAAGAGGTGTGAGGGAAAGTTTCACATAAGTTTCCCCATTCCCGAGTGACATAAGGGAAAAGGGGTCTTTCACAATTTGGTTTGGACCCGGCCTGTACTTTTAGTGAGCAACCAAACCTGACAACCGTAAATTAGTAATCAATCATGATACCATGTCTACAAAAACCATTTATTAGTTAAAAAAGGAATAATTTAAGTTAATATGCTAATTAAGGTGATCATATATCTATTTAATTAGCAAAACTAGGTTCTTTGTACAGGAATTAGAGGTGGCCTACTCCTGCTTATAGAAGAATTTGGCCTTTTACTAGCATAACAAGACGATAAAAATGAACTCCTCGAAGCTTTCTTGAACATGATTGTCTTAGGAAGTGTATATGACTTGTATAACGATTTCTTCATTTTCCTATTACAACGATTTTCCTTCTTTGGAAGATCTTCTAAACTTGTAACACTTCCCAAACATGTAAATGACTCCGATTTTCCATCATAATACTCCGAAAGCCCTTTCCTGCATTCACAAATCGTAACACGTTACAATACTAACGTTATAGTATCAGTATATATAAGTTAAATTATTATAATTTAAATCGCTTACTTTATTGGCAATTGAGTCATAAGAGTGGATAAATCGGACAAAGCCCCATCCGAAGATGCATCATCCATTGTATCTAGTGAAGAATTACAATTTAAACTCGAAATCGTTGACGACGATTCTCCGATCGATGAAGACGATGGACTATCATTATCACCTTCATTGATCATCCATGAAGAACAATTTTTGTCCTCCAAATTATTACCACATTGAAACCATTCATCTTTAAACATCTCAATATTGCTATCACCCATTTTTCGTACTAGAAAAAAGTGAAAAGAAACAACTTTTTGGTCGATAAAGGTTGGAAAAAAAAACATGGGATTTTTTTGGATGTTGAGGAAACACACACACATATATATATATAGGTGTCTATGCATAAGAAGATAATGTGTGGATTTAGTTGATTTTAAAGATCAACATTTAAAATAAAAGTACACGTGTCAAAAGCTGAATAGGAAAGGCAGTCTAAATAGTGGGAATTTTTGATAAATGAAAAATAAATAAATTGAGAATTGAATATGTCCTGCCTGCTTGCCTTATCCTAATATTCGATATTATCTTCTTTTATTGTTGGTTGGTTTCCAATGAATGCCTTCAATATAGAGGATAAACATTACCATTTTATTTACTGATTTAATGCCTTGTATAAATATTTTTTACGTTATTATCAAGTAGTAATTTTAATTTAATATGACACGTAATCAAACTTTTTATGTCCAATTTAACTCCTCTTTTTTTTCTCTCTTTTATATGAAAAAGGTTATTATTTAATTTGTATCTATTTTTAGAATAATTGAATATTATAAATTAAAATGATTTTATCTTATCGACACGCAAAAACTTAAAAAGTGAACGTATCGATCATTAGTATGAGTCTGGAAGATAGAAAGGGAAACCATCCATATCCGTGTCAGTGTCTGTCTTGGTCTCTTAGGCCCTCAATTAGGCAGACATATATATTCGGAAAAATTAAAAAATAATTTGATATATAAAATATTTCGTGTTAATATAATTAAAAAAAATTATAACTTTAAAATGTAGTTTTTTTAATATATATTACTAGCTATTTTCACGATTTAATTCATAATTTATAGATAATACGAAAAATATAAAATTTAATTATTGTTTCAAATTGTTATCAAAACAATAATTCTACATTAACTGATCATCACCACTGACTTGGGAGACGAGAGAGGTATTACTTTAGTTCTTCTTTAGTGACCACTCAAAATATGATAAAATATAGTAGCAAAGGATGGGAAAATAAATATGAATATATCCCTCATAAGGAAAATGGATGAACGTAACGCTTACTACTTCAATTTAAATAGAAAAAACACTTTGAATTTATAATATCGATGTAAAGAGTAATTTCTTGAATCTCAAAACGTTCTAATTCTTCGATTCAATCATATCAATAACTCAATCAGAATAGTTCTCTCCAAAATAGTAAAAAATATTGTAGTTCTTCGATTCAGTTATATCAATAACTCAAGCAAAAAATTTCTTTTTAAAATAAAAAGAATTGTAATACTTATACAATACCTTTTGTTTGAACAGTATATGCCTTGTTTCAACATTTTATTGCCAGTTATGTTGCATGTTATTTTGAGATCTTTTTATGTATAAAAAAATAATTTCTTAATATATTATCTTATATTAAATTAAAATTAAATTCATGTTATTCCTTTACGTTTCATGTCAAGTGTTGCAAAATTTTTTGATCCTTTTTCTGTTTTGCTTTGTATAGATAAGGATGACAAAAAGGACCAAAATATATGATCAGCCAATTGACGCAGCCACTTGTTTCTTAGTATACTGCGTTATACGTTTATATCACCGCTCAAACAATTGAGACCACGAGTTGATTTAGATCGGTTATTAATTTAAATTAAAATTAAAATTAAATTAATTTAAATTTATTAAAATCAAATAAAATTAAAGATAATGTATATTTATTGGTTTGATTATTTTTGCTTCTAATTTGATTCGATTATTTAATAATTATCCATACATAAAAATAAAAAAACAACTCATTCAAAACGTGAAAAAAATGACGATAATCCATTCAAATAAAAAAAATAGTTAATATGAATGACATTACAGATTCCGATCATTGAATTTACAGAGTAAAACTTCAAATTCCACTGTTTTAGCATTAGAAGGAAGAGACAATAATACTTTTTTATTTCACAATAAAGAATTTCGATAGACACTCATATACATAAAATCAATAAAAAAAATGCTCTCAACTTGGACATTTTTTTCACACGTAAATTATAAATAAATTTGATGAAACATATATAAATTTTTTTAATCATTTATGAATATAAATATTATCTATGTATAGTAATAAAATTTATGTATATAACTTATTGATTCGGTTCGATTATTTCTTTAATTTTTTTTGAACAAAATCATAATCAAATCATATGTTATCGATTCTTAATAATCTAAAATTAAATTAAAATTCAAATTAAATCGATTTAATTCGATTTTTAATCCAAATCATAAACATCCCTAATTGAGACTCAGCGTTCACGTCATTCCTAAATGACTTATAACTAAAAAATATTTCCCAACATTGATTTTTTTGAAACCCCGGCCCAACAAATGTATGAACTTTTCGATGAACGAAGAATATAAATACGATGAAGATTTAACAATATAAAAGAATGCGACCAAAATATGAAATTTCTTCTTATAACAGATTTGAAAGATTATAATCTGTTTTGATCTTTTTCAATTTTTATTATTAATGTTGTTGACTCTTTTGCAACTCTTCAAAGTAGAGGAAAACAGTTCACTCCTAAAAAAAAAAGAAATCCAATTTAAACATCTTGTTTTATTATAAGACGTGGTACCAATAAAAAGTCTTAAAAAGTGATCAATACACAAGATTTAGTTCAGTAAACTATATAACAAAATTAATAGTAACTTTTAGGCTAGTTATTTTTGTTTAGGAAAAAAAAAGAACTTCAGTGACTAGATGAAGAAGATCAATCATTAAAATACAAAAAAAAAAAGAAGATTAATTATGGGATTTATGAAATTTCAATAACCCTGGTCTATAAGGTAGTCTCCAATTTTCTCAACAACCATGTTACACTGTCCTGGAGTCACTGGTTCTTCGTAGATACCAAAAATTAGAGCTTGAACTGTTTTCTTAATTGTTATTCCACCAGCCCCCTACATAAAACACGACTACAATTAATTTATTTCTGTTAATTAATTGTCGCTGAAGATAATTATAAATTTAGTACTCAGGCGCTTTTCATCGCAAAAGATTTAGTAGCAGATTTGAATTGATTTTAATGACAAGAGAAGAAATAGAAAAAGTAACAGGGGAGTGATTGAAAAGAATATAAATTTAATCAAATATTAATATAAATACCAAATATCGAGCGAGAAATTAAAAATTTTACGAAGAGTGGTATAAACACCTTTTTGCCACGGATGACAGCGCCAGGTTCTCCTTGGATGACCATGTACTTTGCGCCGCCAAGGAATAGCCCAGTGGGAGCAAGAAATCCAGGTTCATCAAAATCTTTCATGATATTAATAATTTCCTCTTGTTTAAACTAAAAAGACAAAAGATACAGCACATTAATTAAACATTTATACTCAACAACAATGTCATACATTTACCATAATGTCAAAAAGCTACAATTATTAACAAGAACACATGCAACATAATCATCAAGCAACCATCATGTTCGAAGCCAGTCTTTGATATAGAAACGATATTGACATTGCCTACCAGTTCGCTCCACTCCTCCACACACAGTATATTTGTTCCAATAAGTCAAATTCAACCTTTATCATAATGTCAAAAGCTGCTAAGGCACATCAATTTATCTCAACAAAGTCTATTAAGTAACAATTAACCAACATAATCATAAATGATAGATGTAATTTCACAACAAAAGGATAGATCCATTTCCAAGAGATGTAACATTGTACAAAGAAAAAAAAAAGTGAAACGAATAGATCCACAAGAAGTTACTCGATAAGTTCACTATTAGCCATTGATCCAAATATCACTATTAGTCGATAACACACATATATATATACTCGATAAATTGTTATGGACATTGATCTAAACATTATTTAAAAATCCACAAAACTACATAAAACATACTCGAATAAATTGATTCAGACAATATGATTATATAAATTTAACCTTAGGGAATGCAGAGCTTTGAGCCCAAACGCTGCCATCAAAGCCAAGAATAGCCGCTGAGGTGAGGCGATGGCCTTCAAGGTCGCACATCAAGTGATCATCTACATAGGATTGCCACGACATTTTGGCTACTAAAAAATGTTTTTTTTTTCCCTTAATCCTTAATTTGTTCCTTGAATAGTTTGTTAGAATTGGGGATTTGGTTGTTTCAAAGGAGCAAAAGGGGGAAGAAGAGTATAAATAGGAAAGGTTTGTAAAAGTTGGGAACTCACTTAGGTCTTAGGTGTTGTGTTTGAGGAAGAGAGAATGATGCGGGATGTAACAAACACACAGACGAATCTTTTTTTTTTTTACTAGATAATCAATATGTATTCTCTTTAACATAGATAAACATTTTTTGTATACTTATATAGAGTTAATTAAATTTAAATAGGGCAACTTTCACATATAGCAAATAAAAAATTCATATTTGTATGCTATAGCAAAGTTTGTATAATTGCGCTCCATAGCAAACATAGAAACTATATAATTCGCTATACATATACAGTTGAAGCAAATTGTATAAAACAAGAAAGAGAAAGACACTTGGGCAGAGAACTGTATAAAACGAAGTATATAAAACGAATTGTATTATTATAAGTGTATAGAACGATTATATACAATTTGAATTTGTATAAAATGAGAAAGAGAAAAAGACAAAAGAGACTTGACAAGGAATATACAATTGAATCGAATTGTACAAAACGAGAAAGAGAGAAATTAGATACAATTTGAAAATTATATAAAACGAGAAAGAGAGAAAGACAAAAGAAACTGGGCAGGGGAGTATTTTTATTGTATAATTATAAGTGTATAGGACGAAAATATATGTACTTGCATGTGTATATACAATTTTCTCACGCTTTATACAAACAGAAACACAATTTATACATTTCGCTTCTGTTTGTATAAGTGAGAAAGGCGAGGGTGGCGAGCGAGATTTGGGAGAGTGGTAAGCGAGATCTGGAAGAGGGGAGAGAGGGGAACAAAAATATATGTATTTATACAATTTTCTCTGCTTTATACAATTAGAAACAATTTTTATACACTTGTGTTTGTATAAAAAGTGGGGAAGCGAGCGAGAGATTGGAGGAGAGTGGCGAGCGAGATATTTGGGAGATCGGCGCCTGATTTTCCAAACGTTTGCTATGGAGCACAATTAAATCAAACCTAGCCACTCTATTTTATTTTAGGTTAGTAATTTGCTATTATATACAATTTTTTCATTTAAATATAAGGTAGTAGATTATAGATATTAGATATTTCAACTACTATTCGTTAGCTTTTTAATTTAATTTAATTTATTATTTATGGATGTAAAAATCTAATTCCAACGAGGATCTCAATTTCATGTTTATGAACAACTAGATGTAGTTATGGGGACAACCCTTTTGCATCTCATTTTTAAAACTGTGACAGCCCTATATATGTTGAAAAAACAATAAATTAATTAATAATTATATTATATCACTCCTAGTTGTCATAAATCTTGTCACATGAATTGAAAACACTTACTAATGTTTTTTTTTCTTTTTCATATTTACTTGACCATGTTTAATTTGGTAGACCCTTAAAAAAATAGTACTTTTAAGTAAATACTATTAACACTAGTATAGCTAGCTGTAACTAACTTTGTGACTTTACCATTCTATGTAACTTAGCATATGCAAATTAAAAAGAATAAATCAAAGTTGCATCTGCACAGGCCCATTGTAAGCCTTCCTCATACTTGTAATTTATTTGTCATCCACTACAGGGATGGGGTACCTATCCTTAATGGTGATGTCAAGGTCCTCAAGTTTCCCAAGGAATTCATCAACAGAATCTAGTCGGCTCAATTTATTAAATTCCTCAACCACATCTTCCACTGGTATATAACCATAACGACTTATCAGTTCCTGCTTTAACGCGATCTAAGTCACTAGCCCTCCGTACAATACCAATGACTGATACGGTACCTCAACCAATTTATTCAAATAAGAAATAACAGTTTTGTTCATCAAGTATTCTATACTGATCAAAGTATTTCTATATTGATCAAAGTATTTTTCATATTTTCGGATCCATACCTTCAAAAATGGGCAATTTCTATTTGGCCGATTTTTATAATCTTGAGATGTTTGGATTAGTTGGAGCTTTTTCTAATGGACCCAGCCGTTTAGAATTGGCTCCAACGTGTCTTGAATTTCAACGTGCCTCTTGTTGAGATGACAAATAAGTTACTAGTGTTTTTCAGATCTAGTATATTTGGAAAGTATCTAGACATGTCCAGTAACAAAACTCGACAGTTTCATATGAATTTGGCATATCATCTTCTTCAATGAAAAATTGCTACTCATGAAACAAATGCACTTAAAATCAACTATTCTGGCATGCCAATTTGGTTATTAGTATGTTAAGTTATTATTTATTTTTATTGTTATTTGTTTTATTATCTATTGTGTAATTTCTATGTTTTAATACCCCTCCTGATATATTTACTTACCTGCTTAATCCTCTACATTGTTTGCTTATTTGTTTGATTCTCTAAATATGTTTGTTTATATGTTTTATTTATTTTACCATTTTTTCTAAACTGTCTATTTGTTACAGGTTCTATCGAAATGCTAAATGTTTACTGCTTTCATAAATTTACATTTCGCTTATACTTTCACTAAAAAGGACCATCTAGAACTTGACTATGCACCTGGTTGGTCATCATGGCTAGTACGGGCCATTTTCAAGGTCAAACGAGCCTCGAAGCGCGCATACCCCCATTTAGACGATTTTTCGTGTGCTATAGCAAATCATTTTTTGGGTGATCCGGATTCTGACGTCAAAAATGTCAAAATTTTCTGTGGACGTCCATTTTATACCTTGGACATGCATTCGGTTTGCCCTCACGGCTAGTCCGACCTATTTTCAAGGTCAAACGAGCCCCGAAGAGCGCATACCCCCCATTTAAACAATTTTAGTGTGCTATAGCAAACTATTTTTTGGGTGATCCAGTCCGATGTCCAAAATGCCAAAAAAATTTATTGACATCTGTCAAAACCTTGACTATGCATATGATTGTCTCTCACGGCCAGTCTGACCTATTTTTAAGGTCAAATGAGCCCCGAAGCTCGCATACCCCCCATTTAGACGATTTTCAAATGCTATTGCAAACCATCGGTGATCCGGATTCCGACGTCAAAAATGCCAAAAAAAATTTTGGACGTCCGTCAAGACCTTGGCTATGTAGCCGATTGTCCGTCACGGTCATTCCGACCCATTTTCAAGGTCAAATGAGCCCTAAAGCGCGCATACCCCCATTTCGACGATTTTCGTGTGCTATTGCAAACTATTTTTTGGGTGATCCAAATTCCGATGTAAAAAATGCAAAAAAAATTGTGGAAGTCGTTTAAGACCTTGGCAATGCAGCCGGTTGGCCCTTACGGCTAGTATGACCCATTTTCAAGGTCAAACGAGCCCTGAAGCGCGCATATCCCCATTTAGATGATTTTCCTGTACTATAGCAAATTATTTTTTGGGTGATCTGAATTCCGACGTCAAAAATGTCAAAATCTTTTGTGAATGTCTGTCAGGACCTTGGCTATGCAGCCGGTTGGTCATCACGGCCAGTCCAACCCATTTTAAAGGTCAAATAAGCCCCTAAGCGCGCATACCCCCATTTAGATGATTCTCGTGTGCTATAAAAAACCAATTTTTGGGTGATCCGGATTCTGACGTCAAAAATTCCAAAATTTTGTATTGACATCCATCTAGACCTTGGCTATGCAGCCGGTTGGCCATCATGGCCAGTACGAGCCATTTTCAAGGTCAAACGAGCTCCGAAGTGCGCATACCCCCCATTTAAATGATTTTCAAGTGTTATATCAAACCATTTTTTGGGTGAGCCGGATTCCAGTGTCAAAAATGCCAAAAAAAAATTGATCGTCCGTCAAAACCTTGGCTATGCAGTCGGTTGGCCCTCACGTCCAGTCCGACCCATTTTCAAGGTCAAACGAGCCTCGAAACGCGCATACCCCCAATTTTGATAATTTTCGTGTGCTATAGAAAACCATTTTTTGGGAGATCCAGATTCCGACGTCAAAAATGCAAATTTTTTTGTAGGCGTCGGTCAAGACCTTTGTTATGCAGTCGATTGGCTCTCACGCCAGTCCGATCCATTTTCAAAGTTAAACGAGCCTCGAAGAGCCCATACCCCTCCCCCCACCCATTTAGATTATTTTCATGTGCTATAGCAAATCATTTTTTGGGTGATCCGGATTTCGATGTCAAAAATGCCAAAAAAATTTGTTGGCATCTATCAAGACCTTGGCTATGCATCCGGTTTGCCCTCACGGTCAGTTCGACCCATTTTTAAGGTCAAACGAGCGCCGAAGCGCGCATACCCCACCTTTAGAATAAATACAAATTAGAAAAAAATATCAAATTTATAAACTATGCAACATAATTTTTGAATGAATACAAATATTAATTGTATATATACGATTTTAAATACAAATTGAGAAAGGATACAAATTTCTGAATTTTTTTTATATATATAAAAAGAAAATATTTTGTTCTTCATGTAAATAATATACATATCTAGTTAGTATATATTTGGGATGGATTCAATTAGAAACAAATACAAGATTCACAACTATACAACATGAGATTTTGAATGAATATAAATATTTATAGCATACATACTAATTTGAATATTAATTAAGAAAGGATATAAAATTCTAAGAATAAATTACAAATACAAATACATAAAAATTTCATAGTATACAACACAAATCCAACAAAAGTTTATTAATAAATTCTGAAATGTCATAGTCAGTAAAATTTATTCATAAATTATTGAATATTTACAAATGTGAAAAAAATACAAAGGAATGAAAAAAATTAATACATTATCAAAATTAACAAAAACTGACCCCAAAATACAATAATAAAATAACAACTGAATACAAAATACAAACTAATAAATATTGCACAATGTACATAACAAGAAATTTACAAATATATTCAGTACATATTGTTGAACAAATTGTTATTTAACTTCAACTCAACGTGCGAAAATCTAAACATGCAAAAAATATTTAAATACCTTTTCATCAACAGTTTGGTCTTCGCCGTCTTTTTCTTGTACCCTACGAGTTACGTTTCCAATCTGAATTTGATGAAGCCTTTATTCTTGTCGTCTCTCTTCCCTAATTTTAGAAGCAGATTTTTACAATATCCACTAATTCTTGAGTAATACATAGATTGAATGATAGAAAATCACTAGAAACCGTTTTACTAAGATGAATAGTGTCTCTTAGAATTATTCTTTGAAGAGTGTTTTATAGTTCTAAACGAGAAGAATCCTACTTTCATCAATGATTTAAACAACAATAAAATGAAAATAAATCTAAAAGAAAAAAAGATAACCATGAAAATACCTTATTTAGAGGAAT